TATCGTGCAATGAGAGTCAACGTGAGGCAGTAAATCTGCAGACACTGTTTTTATGCCTCTCTCCCAGGGAGGGAGCCTTCCAAGGGCAATTGCTCCCATGCCCCAGATGATACATTTCTAAGTCCAGTCCCTCCCAGGAGATCTATGTTGGTAAAATGCACGTTGAACAGTAACAGAGACCTGAGTGAACATCCAGCTGAGACCATGTCCTGAAACACCTGGGAACAACAGATCTAGGGGTACTTGTGACAAGCTGGGTTGGAGGTATGTAGGGCAGGGGGTGAAACAACACCAGGATGTTCTCCTGCTTTTCCACGCTGTTTAACACAGCACAGGTAGAAGCAGCCACATAGGGCAAAAGTCAGTATCTGTATAGCTATGTTATGCCAGACAGCTTGCCTTCTGCTTTGGACCTGGGAATTTTACTGAGCCAGACCAAAACAAACTTAAGGTGATTTGGCTGCCTGGATTAGGCTACAAGAAGTCCAAGGAAATCAGGAAATAACTCCCTCAGTGACCCTACTTACTACGAGTTTCTGTGTGGTTGTGACATCTGTTGTTTGCCCTATACTCTTGGTGAGGCTCTGTCATGGCAGGGTTATTTGCTGCAGCATAGCTGAGCAGGAACAGCCCAAGGGGAGTTTGAGACACCTAGGAAAGAGAAGCGAGTACAACCACGTAGAAGGCTGAGTAAAAGGCAAGGAACAGCAAAAATCTCTCTTTGAAAAAGAATGTGAGATAAGACAACATGGGATAAGGATGAAAACATGGCACTGGACCATTGTCTGACTGAGTGTTTTGAAGACTGCAGCAAACTCTTGGACATGAATTCCTATTATAAAGCTGACCTCCTGGAATATGTACATGGTACAGCAGTTGCTTTAGTTTTAGCAGCTAACCGGATCCTTGCCAGAATTTTCTGGCAGCATGCTTTTTGGGAAAAGAGCTGTCTAGTGATTCCAAGGGGAAGCGTGCAGAGATGAGCAGAATGTTCAAAATCAGCAAAAATATTGACCGTGCTGCTTGCAAACAGAACGTTTTTTCCTGTACAACCCTTCCACTAGGACCTAAACATTCAAGATCTTTTTTTCTTTCTTTCAGAAACAGAGCGGCTCAGTATCACTGCTAAAAAAGACAATGAAACAAAATAAGCACAAGCAATATAAGAACATTCACTCATTGCCAATGCTGGGTTGCTGTACAGTAGCTAAATGACCCAATACCACCTAAGCCCTCGAACTTCTAAATCCTGCAGCTTTTTGCAAGCAGTGAGCAGCTGCCTGTTTCCATGCCCCATGATTCCTGAAGCACAGAGTACTATTTTTCCAACCACACAATTAAATGCACTTTTTACAGCTTTGCTTGCTGTGTTCAGAGCCTCTGGAATCATTTAATGATTCCAAAGGCAAGGAGAGACATGAGGATGGATGTCAGGAGATCTGGATTTAGTGTTCAGTCCACATTATACTCCTAAACCTGGGAAAATCCAGAACCTCTGAGCCTTACTTCTTAGCCTGCAAAACACAGGAACTGCGTTCCTCGATTACCTTCTCTCCTGTATTTTGAAAATGTTTAAGCAATAAGACACCTGTCAGGCCTGGAAAAAGGCCAACACTGGAAAACTCCAGCAAATCACAATCACATCATAGAGACCTAAATAAAAACTGTTGGGAAGCAAAATCCACTGGCTGCTACCATTCTCCCCCTTGGGGACCATGCGTTCTCTGGGGAACCAAAATAAATTGTTCAATTAAAATGCTGATCCAGCTCATCCACCATCCAAACATCTTTCCCTATGTGAGGAAACGCATCAGTAAAGTAAATTTTTCCGTTTTATTTTTTATTATTATGTTCCAAGAAAATTAAAAGACATAATGCAGCTTTTCTTCCACCATGTTACCAGCTACCTTTACATAGTTATTAGACTTCTATCTATACATCTGAATATAGCTTTGTTATTTGGCAACGCAGCACTGTTTTTTTTGTTGTTTTTTTTTTTAATAAGAGATGGGTGGGGAATCTGAACTGGGCTGTTATCTAATTTTAAACATAGGCTGTCCACCTGCTTGGCATATCATATTCTCCATTCCTCCACTCCACCCTTTAACAAAATAATACCTTGATTTTACATCCTATTCCACTACCCTCAACGACTGGTTTAAAATTACCACAATCTTTCTTGCTGCCTAGAATTGCTGAGATCAGCCATTTTCAAAGACAAACTTCCCTCAAATTCCTAAACAGGAAAAAAAGGTCCTTTTTACAGGAAAAATTCCAAGTAGCCACAAAACAGGATCATGTTTCAGAATGCATGTCTCCAGCAAAGCTAGTTTTCTTTCCCATTTCAAATGCCACCCTCCTCTGCTTCTTCTTCCCACAAAGCTGTGGTGGTAGATAAATCCAAGATTTAATTCAGCAGGACTAGCAAGGTCTGTTTTCATGCACATCAAAGTCTGAAACACACACTGGTGGTCTGAGAAGGTCAAGAGAAGCAAAAACTTCTCAAAAGCTACTTCAGTACATGCATATGCTGGTTAAAATCAAAACAGAACAACTATGAAGCCATACTTAAAAGGTACTGCTATGTTAACTGTTCATTAACCAGAAGTTATTATTAACTTTTAAAAAGCTAATCTGTTCCCAAGCAAAAACGCAGTCACTCACCGCTGCTCATATTAAAACTACTTGCATTTACTATCACCACTTTTCACCTTGAAGGCCTTCAGAGTGCCTCAACATATCTACCTATCAAAGATACTCCAAAACTCCTGAGGAGCAGCTAAGCTCACAAGCTCTAAAATATGAGTTCACATTTAAAGGATGTGCTCCCTCTATGACTCCTTCCCATCCAAAGGAAACTTTTTTCCTACCATTCATAATGGCAAAGCAAGCTTTGAAAACATTAACTGATTTTAAATCAGTGTTGGATGTTTGCCTGAATTTGCAAATGCCCAGAAAACAGGTCTCATGTTTGAATTACTCCCCTCATTTTGGTGTGGTACACGATGCTCTCTGTGAGGCAGGTTTCTGTGTGTTCACATTCCTTCTATCTCTCCCAAGGAACCATCCATCAGTGTGTGAGACCAACATGGTTATTCCATGATCTCAGTGTGACTTGTGAGTCTACTCTAAAAAGAAGCCTTTAATATTCTGCATCCTTCTAACAAAATCTGATTTTTCCTTCCAAGAACTTTTATGATGCAGCCAGGCACTGCCAAGCACAGAAGTCTGTGCCATACTAAGAGCACGAAGACAGCTAAACCATCCCATTAAAATTGCAGGGGGTTATTGCTTGGACCAGACTGTTTGTATGCAATTCAAATAGGCCTCTCTTTGAAGATGTCCATGGGAGAAATAATGGTGACTGTGCCACCAGCTCCAGTGTGCAGCTGCACTACATGCTGCTGCTCAATTTAGATCCTGCTTGCCAAGGAGCCTGTAAGCCTTTGCACACAAGCATCTTCCTCTACATTCCCACCCACACAAACGCAAAACCGGGTTTGACCTTCCCCACTCTGCTCTGTCCGTGCATCCCCCTCCAGTCTGAACAAATTCCTGCCATCTGTCCTGCCTGTGCTGCTGACTGCTACAATCTGATCCAGGCACTCCAAGGCTCCAATATATTCATGTCTGTTTCTCAGCCTGCTATGGTCTCTGGAGCTGCCCCTGGCCCCCTATCCTGAATTGATTATTGAACTGTTTGGACATTTTGGAAAATAAGTCTGCTGTAAAAGGTCTGCAATATATTAAAATCCTGCCATTAGTATCGACAGAGCAGGTGCTGGAGTCTGAGCACAGTGTGTCTTGAAGATGCTTACTATAAAGTCCTGTTCAGTATATAACCACATCCTTCATACTTCACTGGCTAATTTGAGAAGTAAAAGCATGTTTCTAGACCAAAGGATGAGGTGTCAGCTATTCCTGTCCTTGGATCCAAGTTAAGTGAGTCTTTGTATGTATAACACATTTCCACACACAAGCTACTATGGGAAAGTGAAACCGGGCACAACAGAGGGATTAAGTAGAAAGCACAGTTGCATAAAAACTAGAAGATACCATTGGGTGTGGTAAGAAAGCATCTCCACTCTCCAGTGTAGGGGTACAATGTTCGGAGCACCACATTTCCAAATTCCAGGAGCAGAGATGCCCTGCCAGCCTAGGCTCGGGGCAGTACAACATCAATGTTCAACCTTTTGTGTTCCTCCTCAAGAAAGAAGACACTATCAGATTGAAAAAGCTTAAGTTCTCCTTGAACTTCAGCATTCATTACTTTCTTATGCTGTCAACTTTCCATTTTTCCATATATCTTAATCAAATTTTGCTGACCTTCTGCTTTGACCTGCCTGCTGCCATCTAAGGGGACTCAGCAGGTACAGTCACTCAACCATTCACTGGAAACTTGGATATTTTTACATCTCACATTTTGGGAAAGAGGAGATAAGAGGGGTTGCAATGGGCAATGTGTGTTCCTCAAAGCACAGCATTCAAACCCACAGGATTTACCCAATACTCTCTCTATGCAAAGACTCTGAACAGTCCTAAAGAGAAATAAGCACCCTGGCCATCCACCTTGAAAGGACATCTTTAAAAAGATGTAACAGATTTAAACCTGTTGTGCTTGCAAAGAACCAAACCAACAAGATGAAAAACGCTGAATTAATTCCTTGTTTGAGTGTGTCAAGCTCTGGTGTTCTGTGTATAGAATTTCTCCCTCAAGCTAGTTTCCTCAGTCCTGTATAATGCCATCTTGAGTACCCAAATCACTGAGAAGAGCAAACAACAGTGGCAGGATGACCCATTACTCCTGAGAAGGCACTCACTGTGACAATCCTATTTCCTGGTCATATCACATCAGCTCTGGATTGTGCTGCAGTGAAATGCAATGGCAATGCACAACAAGGGCTGAATATAAAACCCCATGGGACACAAGCCAGACCTGCAGTATGGTATGAGAGCCATGCAGATTAGGAAGGGAAGCCATACAAAACGGAAGGACTTACACCAGAGTTCATAGTAGTAGTTGCAACACTGGGATTGTCCACAACAGTGGCCCGTTTCACATATGTAACTTTGATTGTTGACACCCATGCAGGTTTCCTTGTCCTAAAATTAAACAGACACACTTTTAAGATGCTTTGTCAGTATCTATTGCAAATGTTTTACTCAATGATCTGAAAGCATTTGAAAAGTACAAGTTATGGTCTTTGGAAACTCTAAAATATATAAGAAGGTGAAAAGACATCTAAGGACCACCAAAAAACACAAAAGACCACTCAGAAGAAAATCCCCATATCTCAAACCCATGAGTTACACTGTTTTAGCATCTAGTCAGTGCTGTTGTCTCATCATCCCTCTCCTTTTCCACTAAAAGTTACCACATTTTGGGAGCCAGGCATTCTCTTAAAAGATATGACATTTGTTCCACATTGTACACAATATCACCGTATTACTAGGGCTGAATGCCAAGTGGAGGAAAAGCATTCATAAAGGGAACGTTATAATTTGAGAAAAGACTGCTTGGATTCATTTAGATCTAAATGATAATTACAATATGTTCCTACAAGATTCCTATCTAAAATGATTCCTTTGTAATTAGCCATGTGCTTTATGTAAGATCAGCATTCCTGTAAAACTTCTTCCTGGAATAGCAAAGCAGTCCAGAAGCAGAGCCAAATCAGCTGTAGTGTATCACCCAGTGGGTCCTCAAGACACCTAACATGGAAAAGGTCTGTGGTGTGAGGTGTCAGTTCCCCACAGGCTGCATCACTTCCCAGAAGCCCATGTTTTCCTGCTAGTCTGAAAACAAGGCTGGGAAAAAGTACAAAATACAAGAAAGCAAAAGGATTTTACTGTGGTTTGTACATCCTCTAATAGGTTTTGCAGCAACCTGGGAGTTCAAAGAACTCAACGGAGTTTAAGAAACTAACATACCTTAATTAAAACCACTGTAACAAAGTTTTTATTTTCACTTTCTTTCACTTGAAATTCATTACAAGGAAACTAAAACGTGGGTAGGGTTATACTGAAAGCTGTGTTGAAAAAAATAATTTTGGAAGTATCAACTTGCAAATAAGAAAACACCAACCTACAAAAGCCCAACAAAACCCCACCAGCAGGCGACAGGGATGCACATCTGTGGATCCCAGGACAGGCTGAACTGCACTGTTCTTCTTTTCTATGTGAGTGCACCATGTCCACACTTCTGACAAACCTCTATGGAGCCACACATGCAAATACCAAGTGCATTTCAAATGTTGAACCACCTCATTGAACAAGTGATGTGAGGCAGCAGCTTCAACGAAGAAGAGTCCTTCACTAAGTTTTCAGTGTATTTGGGGACCTGCAGGGGCACCAGCACTTTCCCACCACACAGCACCCTGGCTGGAGCCACATCTCCCCAACACAGGTCTCTCACCTGAGCACCCAAATTACAGCAGCCACGTAACTTCTAAAAGCACAACAACCTCCTGCTATCTGAGGCTCAACAGGAAGGACCCCATGCTGCCACTTTTCTCCCAAGAAGTCACACCTACTTTTGAAAGGGTTTTCATCATGTGAGGGCACAATTCAGCAAACACAACTCAGCATATGATGTCCTGCTTCCCTACATTCCATGGATATCATGATTTCCACAAAAGGCTCTAAAAAGCACCTTTAAAACTCACCCACAGAGGCAACAAGTTGGAGGGGTACCTGCCTCTATTTTTCAGGAAGAGATGAATATACTAAAGGCAGCTAAAGCAAACATTTGGTTCTTGTCCTGAGATGCTGGCATGCCAACAGTAGAAACATAATTTTCCTATATGGTAAGGAAGTGCTTCCATCTCTAATTGGTGGCAACTATTAGGAGACATTGCTGAGCTAGCACAGCATTTTCTGCTTCAAGCATGGTATTCACTCCAAAACCTGTAATTTCAACCAGCAAAAGAACTAGAAATAGGACACATCTATTCTCTTATCTGCTCTTAATAGTTTATTTACATTTTTCCTCATTTTTGTTGGCGTTGCAGAGCAAATGTAACTGACGAACAGCATAGATTTTGGCTCTCATATGAAGAGAATTGAGAAATTAATATACCATTGCAAAATTGCAATCTTGTTGATAATGCTCAAGTCAGAGAATGACTGGCTGAGGTTTGTGGTTGTGACACATAAAGATCAATGTGACCTGTTAAACCAGTAAATGAATCACATGGGAGCTGGTAAAAAACCAGAGCCTCACAGTGCCATTTCATGATCTCCTCTGCATCATCACACTTGATCCATCCTTAACTACTTCTGGTTTACTCCCCAAAAATATTATCCATTCAGTGTTGCCTGCTTCAAAGAGTAGCAAGAAGGAACAAACCAGTGTCTTTGGGCAGCAGCAACTTGTAACATCTTCAACTATATTCTTCCCACTTAAAAACTTGCAGCAGTCCTATTTCAGAGACTTTCATTACACTATCCTTTTATTTGAACTTACTGACTCACTCTTGCCAACCTCATTATATTTGAAATTACTTTTCCACACATGCTTATGTGCAGGGCTGCTCCTTGTTAACCCAACTGGCCAACAGGTGGGTCAGTACATTCTCAACAGAGGATCCTGAGCAGCTAGGATGGTGTTCTGCAGGTTGTTCCTGGAGTCTCAAGTCTCAAGTAACATCCTGCTTCCCATCTAGAGCAGTGTTTAATTTTTACTGTCCAGAGCTTCTTTACACACTGAACAAGATAATGCTCCTCCCTGCTAATGCACTCGTGCTTGTACCTTCAAATAGTCCCACGGTTGGCTTTCAGCTCTCCCAGTTCAGAACAGCCAGGGGTTCTGAAGCCCTTGCAGTGCCAACCATCAGCCATGCTCCTCCAAGTCCAAGCAGCTAATTTTGGAGCCTTTCTGCAGCCCTCTGCCAGCCCAGCCACCAACAGCCTTTTGGGAACATGGAGCAGTCAGACTTGGGGGCCACATGTCAGACCCAGAACTGTCACCCATGTTTCCAAATGGTTTCACAGAATCAAGGAATAATTTGGTTTGGAAAGGATCCCAGCAGGTCACATGGTCCTACTACTGCTCAGAGCATGGCTAGCTCTAATACTGGGTTATGCAGCCACAGGGAAAGAGATAAAAGGTAAAGGCAACAGGTCTTCACAAAGAGAACTCTAGTAGGGAAAGATTCCAGCACAAGGAGAGCATTGTTTTGGGATATGTTACCAGGTGACTCCTTTGGAATAAGTGTTTCAGTCTGCTTTCCTCTTTTAAGTCAAGACTCATTTCTCTGAAAAACTGAGCCACTGTACAGTTTGTTCCTTTTTTGCAAGTCAAGGAAGAGGTTATGTAGAGCCACCCTGGCCATGACAGAGACTGTGACATTCTTTGCTAGGAAATTTCTACCTACTTCCGAGCTCTTTGATCTGACTTCAATTTCTATTTAAATATCAGGCTGCACTTTTCATACCAGCAGCATTTTATTATTTCTACTTCCTTCTCCCATGCATTCTTTGTGTCATAGGCTGCCAAACTAACTACTTAAGATATATCAGCAGTACAGTTATCTAGAGTCTAAATGTCTCCTGGAAACAATATCTCAAGCACTTGTGCTATGAAAGCATGCTATTTCCTTTTTCACACTAAGAGGCATAGACAAGACACAGGGCTGAAAGAGTAATTTGATAGATAAGGAAAAAACATATGGTGGAAAAAACTCTCATAGAAGTAAAGTTGGACCACTCAAATTTTATTCATGTGGCTTTGTTTTTAATTTCCATTGCGAGCAGCACTTGTAATGGTAATTTTTAGCCATTCTTACCAGCATGGAGTTTTTATTGAACAATTACAGAAGGGTTTTGGAGTATTTTTAAGGTAGCCTTAGGAAAACAAGGAAGGGGGAGGGGGTTTCTTTCCAAAAGCACTTTCTTCCCCAATAGCCAGTGGCTATTACATTCCAGAGTGGGCTTCCCTGCTGAAGGAGAGTCTCGTTTTCTTGTTGTCCAGGCAAGCAAGCACATCCCTTCCCCCCAGCCTTTGTTCAGCTAACTGTAGATGCCTCCAGGCAGGATTACTAAGCAGGATCTACATGGTTCTGCTCTCAAAGAGCATTCAGCTCCATTAGAGCAGAATAGTCTTGTTTCACATCTAAGAAGCCAGAACATGCCATCCATTATCTCCCACCTGCAAAGCCTAGGAGATTCCCAGCTAGTTTCAGGGGACTCACTTTGTCCTTTAAATCAGTATGTACCCTAGGCTGCATGTGCATCACTGCCTCCTGGTATCATCTTAAAAGCTGGTCCAAGAAACTGGAATCACTCAGTCTGTGACAAACAAAAGCCAGGAGCTTTTGGGAGAACACTCTGCAGACGTGGAGCCTGGGGTCACCCTCAGTCCAGTCCAACACAAAGAATATGTGATATGCAGTAAAGGCTCTTTGTCATGAAACTGGCTGAGCTGGGAAGACCTCACCTGGTGCATTTTGAGAGTCTCTTTGTATCAAGATGTGGCATTTTGAATTAGTTTTCACATGTCATAAACTTTATAAAGCAACACTGAATAAGATTTTTTTTTAACTTATTTTCTTGTCGATATATGGCATTTGTGATAAACTCACAACCATACTGGCAACTCCACAACTCTGTAGTAGTCCACTTTTGCCATCAAATGCTTTTACAAATAGTACTTAAAATATCCAGCAGTAGTAGATATAAGAGAACTCAAGGCAGTGCTGTATGTTGTCACATCTGAAGCCACAGCAAACAATAATGTCAGTGCCAAGGAAAAAAAGCCAATTATTCTCTTCATGTTCCAATTTAGTATTAGACCTTTACTGGAGGTCTCTGTGACAAATTAAAGGTCAAAATCTGGGGCACAATCAAGACATGAGCCATTCATGAAGGTCTGTAGGTTGACTAAGCTGCTCCTCGTTGCAAGGAAAGATGGAAGAGACCTCCTTACCCTACTTTTGTAAAGGTTTTTAGTAGCAAATGGTTGGGTTTAATAGTTGTAAATCTGTAAGGATTTATCGTGTATGAAGCCAATGCTGGAAATGAAGGGAAATAACTGATTGACAGTTGAGTTCCATCACCATAAAAGGATCAAAAGGCACTTCTCTCTTTTCTACTCTCAAAAGTCAGCAGTTAACCTGGGCACATACTGCTAAGTCAGAAGGGAGAAAGACGAAGATGAGCAAATTCCAGACCAGCATGGCTCTTTTCCAAGCTGAAAATTAATATGTGCAACCGCAGCAACAAACACCACAGCCCACACTCAGAAGTGCATAGTTGGCAGCAAACCACCTACAAAAGTTGAGTCCTCAGTTGGCATTAATCAGGTAACCAAAACCAGCAGTGGCCAGTATCATGAAATCTAATAACCATTTTAGCTTTTTGCTGTCTCCTCTTTCCACAGAAATCCAGACTTCATTACCCTAAATATGAGCACCTTTATATGGCCTCTATGTCTCATTCAAACTGGGAGAGTATCCATTCATCCTAACATTGGTAATATCCTGGGAAACACTTGGAAATGTGACTTGCATTTACTTACAGCAGTTTATAGGCCATTCCTGTCTCCTAGGATCATCAGTTTTTTTGACCTACTCTAATTCCCTAATTTTTCCAAACTTCACTACAGCATTTGTGAAGGCACTATGCAGCAAATTACTATTTTAACAGGAAGAGATAGAGAATAACAACAGGATGACAGGGGTGAGTAAAGATCTGAATAAGAGGCAGACAAAGGGACTCAGAGAAAAGCCCCAGCAACAGGGTGAAGGGAGACTGCCAAAACGGCATCTGCTGAAGGGCAAGATACAACTGGTTTTAACAGGACTTGGGCTCAACCTGTGACCACTCCAGACCTTCTGGTTTCACAGCTCTCATAGGGACTTTGGTAATAAGCATCTATTTAATAATAAATCAAAATCCTGACCTAGTTATTTCACTAATCTCATTAATCGCAGGCAGCAGTCCCTTGCTCTCAGTATCCAGCCGCACCCATAACAAGCAGGATAGATTTAAGTGACACTATCCTCAGAAAAATATACTGAAGTATGTATTTGAGTAACTCACAATTAGTATTTGAACCACATATATTCTTTAAGCATTCTGAGTAACAGAATGGAAGTGGTTGTCAGTATATTAAATATGTCAGAAACAACTATTTGATATCCACTATTTATTAGTTCCCACTTGGCTGTTACTCAATCCCACATATCAGACTATCACTAGTGTTGGTTAGCGAAGTGCATCAGCAACAGCTCATGAGAATGCAAACACAGAGCTACCAAAGAAAATGATCTCTGTCAGATAAGGCACTCAAGTGGTAGTATGTTAAAATTGCTACTGAAAATACTGGGCTGGAATGTCCAATCACAGAGTTTACTACAATTCCTGATTTGCCAGCAGCCCCCCAGTTCCTAATCACATTTAATATTAAATAAAAACTCACTAGATCCTTTCAGAGGACAGCAAGTGGGATCACAGCAAGGACAGGCAGAACTGCTGGCGAACCCTGGATCACCAGGGCAACTCAGGACCCACAGACACCAGTGTGGCTGAGCCTGCACCTCCAGGTATCTCCTGTCTACACAAACATTACACCTGTTAAGTCCTTTGGAACATAACAGCAAAAATCCACCATCTGCCAAGTGTCATGTCTTTGGTGGGTTCAGTTTAACAAAACCACGTAAGATTGCAGAAGATGAAAGTGGCTTTGAGTGCTGGGAGTTACGGGAACCTCACGTGCCAGGCCCTGCCAGCACAACAGGGGACAGATTCCTGTAAGCCTGCCTTATGACAGACAGCTGAGGCCAGGAAATAAATCAAGTCTGGACGCTTCTTCAGAAGTCACCACCAAAAATGTTGTTTTGCTGAATGTGGAAAAAAAAGTGTAGTAAGTGCAAATATCCAAACACTTAAAAGTACAGTAAGTGGGGGAGGAATGATGCCTCTGAGCTGTCTCAGGCTCAATAAAGATCTCCAAAATGGGAATTCTAATCCACAGCATTTATTGCTTCGCTAATGCCAGCATCAGGAGAATTATATTTAGATCACCATGATTAATCAGCCATAGCAGACCCATCCTCACCCCCAGCAGATGCAGAACCTCCAAGGTTTTATTAACCTTTATCTGAGGAATAAATTGCTTTGTTGCATCCATTTATGCTGAAGAAATACTCCAACTATCTTTAAAGGGACACTATCCTTTCACAGATCATGAACACTTTGATATATTTCAATAAGAGCTGGTTTCATTTTTGTTTATTGCAAGTTTCAATTTCAGATTCCAACAACTTCACATTCGCGTTTTAATATGTTTACTTCCTCACCCCTTGCTAGAAGCTTCCCAGCTGCACTCCTCAGCCCTCTCACATTAAAGATACACACTTCTACACTTCTAGGAAATCACAGCTCTGCGGAGGCCATCTTGCATTTTGTTGGTTTAAACCACCAAACAGAAGACCATGACGAAAACCTCAAGCAGTTAAAATTAAAACTGAAAAGGTTTGGAATCCAATAACTTCTTTTTTTTTTAAATTTAATTTATTTATGCAGTGAACTAGGTGAATGTCTTCAAGCTTCCACCTCCACATTTAGGAGGAGGTGCTCTCCTAAAACTAAAAGCAGAGATCCTCTACAATCATGTTTCCTTGGATGGGAGTTTAAACACCTACATTGCACTGATGTCAGATAGTGCTGACCTAGCTTTTTAGGCATTGAAATATCATCCCTACTGCAACAATAAAAAAACCCCAAAATCAACCAGACACCTTACTTTTACCAGGTCCATCTGTAATGCTATAATGCTGCTGGCTCCAAAAAAAATGAAGGCAGATCCAAGGAAAGTAGCTGCTCAGTGCAGTCCAGGGGTGCAGAGCACAGGGTGCTGGTCCTGGGGAGCCAAAGGTCTCCCTCTGATCCTTCCATCCTCATCACACAGCTCATGGGAGGGCACCCCACTCAGCACCTCTGCCCTGAGCTTGTAGCCCAGGATCAGCATCCCTTGTGCTGAAGTGAGAACAACAAAGGGCATCCCAGACAGCCAACTGTTTACAGTCCAAATGAACCAAGTACAAAACAAAAAACAATGGAGGTGATGAGATGTTCCTGAATTCTTCCCACACTTTCAATTAAAGAGCACTGTTCAGCAAAAACCCTTGGAAAAAGAAACTACTGAATAGTATTTGCATGAAGAACACAATTACAAATACTTAGATTTAATTTTTTAAGACTAAAAATTATTATTAAAACTAAGAAAAGTTCAAGTAGTTATTTCTCACTATATCCTTTATCAGTGGATAAAAATAGTCAAGAACTTTGCTCTTGTGTTCTTGAGGCAACACCTTTTTTCCTGCTTCCTGTAAATGCCTCTATTAATGCCAAAAAGTTACCAGCAGAGAAAAAAGTACCATCCATCCACTGAGACAACCAGATGTTCACTGTTCCAGCAAATGAAGCCAAATTACACCTAACTTCTACTTTTACACCTTATGCAGCACCCCAACTGCACTGAACACATCTCTAAAACAAAATGAATTCTTTAAAAACAGGAACTTTAGAGAAAAACATACCCGTGAGTCTGAAGCAATCCCAGCATTTGAGGCAGCTACATCTCACTGCAGTTTGAGAGTTACCTAAAAAGTTATTCAGCCTTTGTGCCTGAATTTCCCCCTCTGGTTCAGTTCTGAGTTTTTAAGGCAAATCTCTTTGCCTGAGTGCTAACAAGTGAACTATTATTTATAGCTATTGCACCAATCACAGAAGGTCATTGTGCTAGAGGTAGTTTCTTATGTAAAACTGTTTTCGGATGGGGGGTGTGGGGGTGGGGAGAGAGCTGCATTTCACCAAAACCGAACTGATAAGAAAAAAAGAGACAGCACTGTTTACTCAGCAGCATGTTGAAGTCTTTTAGCGGTGCTAAACAACTGAAAGTAGGTAGTTTAAAGTATGTTATGGTCCAATTTCGACTTCTTAATTCTAAATTAGAAACTGCAAGCAGCACTCTGGTATCATTCAGTATTTATTTATTGTGGATTACAGATCACAGCAGTGCTGGAAAGAGTTTACAGTTAGATTCCCTTACAGACGTGCCTCTCAAACCAAAAAAAGGGTTTGCTCTCCCTAGCCTAGGAACACATAGTTGGCACCTCCTCCAGCAGAGAGCAGCTGGGCAGTTGCTACCATTTCTCATTCCACTCGATATTACCAGCTATTAAATTATCCCAAGTTTCTTGTTCAAGCTCAAACTCTCAAAACAATTTAAAAATCACCAAGCTGTGGGTCACAGCGTGTTGCCATTTTCCATTTGGTGACTTTTGTTAGAGATGAGACACACACACACAAACACACTTATATATAAATACCCTTTCTGGGTATTTTCTGGGGTGTTTTTTTTCTTCTTTTTTTAAGAATCCACAGTTTTACATACAAAATAATGCCTGTACAAGAAAACAGTTCAAAGTTTGGCATGTTTTTAAGAAATGCAAATGCAATTCCATTTTAAGGACTGTGGAAAGCACCCTAAAACCCAACCGAACAAAAACTGCACAGGAGCACGACACAAAGAGCCTCCCTGCTGCAAAGCCTCCAACAACAACAAGGAAGTTTCTATCTCTGGCTCTCAGTTTTGCCCCTTCCTTGCTAATAAAAAGCGTCTCTCGCACAACTGTGCTCTCTGCTCACACACCACGGGTGGGGAAGTGCTGATTGTACAGTTCCGTTTTGGGAAAGTCAGAAATCGTATCTTAGAGGTGAGGGAAATAAAAATAAAAGTAATCAGTCACATCCTCCACCTGAGCAAGCAGCTCCCACCGCACTTAAGCCGGTTGGTTACCTGTCTGAGACCCAGGAGGAAAGGCATTCTGCAGGCTCATCCTCCACGCCAGCACATGGGAAGGCAGGAATTTAAAGCCCCACAGCAACCATTTCTTCATCTGCTGTGGGCAGCCCGCTCCTCCGATCTTATTTAAACCAGGGCTTCCTCAGCTGGGAATGCTAAATAAACAGGGTCCTGGGACACTGCACGCACTCGCTGGCTCCCCCTCCTCCTCCTCCCACTCCCTGTGACATATCTCAGACGCAGCCCAGCCGGGGTGTTTGCAATAGGGAAATGACATCAGGTCGGGCAGTTCTGAAAAAAAAAAAAAAAAAAAAACTCCCCAAAAAACAAAACAAAACCAAAACCAAACAAAAAATTAAAATTAAAAACAACCTCCCAGCACAAAAACGCACACACACAAACCCTCAACACGAACAAAATAAACGCGTCGCACCACATTAAAAAAAAAAAAAAGAAAAAAGAAAATAAAAGAAAAAAGAAAAAAAGAAAAAAAAAAGGCAGCCCTGAACCTTAAGACTGCTCAGCTGCGGGGTGACACCAGGCCAAATGGGACCTGTCAAGGGGCCCAGGTGGAACAGAAGTGCAAAAATGCTCTCCTCCCTGCTAAAGGGATGCTGCAATGGAGGGCAATTTACTGAAAATGTTGTCATGAGACAACAGTGTGGCGATTATTAAATGTCGCTAAGCAAAAATAGGCAGCTAATCTATTTCTGAGAAGAAAAGTAAGTTTGATGCTGCCTGCTGGACAGCACTGGAGTCCTAGAAGCCACCACCATGGTTTCTCCAAGTACCTCCAGACCCTGGGTGTAGTCTTCACAGATCCAAAGCACTTCCATGCCACCTTCTGCCTGCCACCACAGTTCCACTTTTTCTGACTCACAGCATTGTTCAATTCCCAGCCCCTCCAGATAACAGCTGTCCCTCTATAGAAACAGCAACAACTTCCCTGATTTCAGAAGGATCAGGATTGGACCCCTCCAGCATCAGACAGGTGATAGGAAGAGTTTCAAATCCACTTCTCCCCAAGGAAAATCTGACTAGCTCTGTCAAAAGGTTTCTCATTCTACTTGAGCTCATTTCACATTTTCATGCCAAGGGGCAATTAAGCCTTATAAACAAATTTATCATCTGGTGCCCAGGATGGCATGTCTTGTTTGTCCTCCCCCAAGCAAGGAGTACAGCAAGTTCCACAGTGGTGTAGAAGATGACACTGCAGAAGGTAATCTAAATTTAACTCCCTTTTCTACCTCCACTTTGAAAGTTCAGCAACATCTTTTTTTCCTTCTTCTCTTTAATCAGCAGCTGTCCTCGTCTGTCTGGGGGGAGGGGGGGGACTGGGACACCATCGCCACTCCCATATGCCCCAGCAGCAGTTCCATGGATATTTGACAGAGGACAAACTCCCCTGGCTTTTGGCCTCTCTGGCTTTGGAGCCCAACACATTAAAATATATGACAAGGAATGGAATATACTTTTTTCCATAGTGAGTTCACTGAATGCCTTTTTTAGTAGCAGCTTTAATAGTAATTTCAGTACTTCAGAATAGAGAGAGAAATCACATAAAGTTCTTGCAAATGCTAATTTGAAATAGGAGAAAAAAATTAAAGAAGGAACAAAAACAAAACAACAACAAAAAAAGGCAAAAGCAGAACAGACACCACTTGCCACCCAACAGCTAGACAGATTTCAGCAGTGTCAGAAAAAGACATCCATTCTACACATGTTACAACCACCCCATAACCACCACTGCTTCCTCCTCTCAGTCCAGCCCAGAGTGATTTCCCAAATGAGAACCCCATTCTGTGTGTCCTCTCCACAACTGGGCTGTGAGACTACACACAAGCATTACTTATTTTTACACCAACTTAAAAGCACCATCCAAAAATGCTGTTTAAGGGTAAGCACATCTCTGATTTTCCTAAGAGAAAACAAGCCAGAAAGCAATTTCCTGGAGGATACAAAACATCAGCGTTAACTAGCATCAGCCAGGCAATGGGATTTTCCAGTTTTTGTGCTCTTAGATCAAACAAACTCTCAACCTTTGCTTTTCCAATTCTATGGCCAAACACCAGTGATATAAAAGGGCAGCTTTCTGTTTTAGTAATCTGTTCTGTGGCCTCGCAGTGGCCTTTGAAACATCTGATTTTGGCTGTTGCTATCCAGAGCTCTGGACTAGGCAGAACCCAGGGCTGAGCCAATGCAGCAGTTTCTAAATCCCTACTGTCAGAAGGAATCTAACTTTAACCACCCGCCTCTGTCCCAGCACACACTCAAAAGGCAAAGCGTCATTCCAGATCTAAGACAAGTTGTGAAGGACTATCAAAAGCAGTCACTTGGCAGAAAAGCAAAAGCATCCTAATTTATGTGTGAATTTAGCAATCCTGGAAAGACTGACACAAAAAAGGTGGTTTGCAAGCAGGCATTACCACATTCGACTGCAGCAGGAGCAGCCACCCTCTCTTGCAGTCCCTGAGTGACAGCGGCCAGTAACATGCTCCACAACTCTGCTATAGACGACTACAGAAAAAAACCCTGTAGAGGGACAGAAAAAAAAAAAAAAAAAAAAGAGCTGGACAAGGTAGCTCATACCCTTATAAAAGTCTGATCAACACCCTTAGAACCTTCGCAAAATACCTAGGTTCTCCTAATCATTACAATTGCTTTGTATATACCAACTGGTACTCTTTTACCCCCTCCTCTTTTTTTAAGTTCGTAAGTTCTTGCCCCAAAGCTCTGCCTGGGGACAGTGAATTTCACAGATGGTGGTCGTGAAAAAATAGTTTCTTTCATCAAGAATGAATTCACCACCTTCTAATTTGACTTTCATATTATTAGCAGGTGGTAACAGAAGTCCTCATCCATCTTCTCACCCGTTCATTACTCTGTACCTGTTAGCTATCTTCTTATAAAAGATATCAATCTTCTCTATCCTCTTAATGTAAAATTTTTTCCCAAAGCCTTCAGCTGCTCATTGCCCATTTCCAAAACCCTTCTAATTTTCTACTGCTCTCTGCTTGGGGGAAACCAGAGCTGAGATAATAATTATTTTAATGAAAGCAAGAGCAGCTCTAAGGCAGGCTCAGCATGGGTTCACTTCTTTTATACAAACCTGGAATTTAAGATCTGCAAAGGCTACACAAAAGTGCATCTATCCAAGATATAATGAACAAAACCAACACAAGTTTTGTGTGTTTGTTCACACAGTTCCTCAGTAGATGACTCTCTTGAGGGCTCTGAAAAGTCAGGACTAATGTCAGGACAGAATATGGGATCTACATTACTTTCAAAATTTGCTTCTTCATCAGATTTCTACCAGAAAAGAGGAAATAAAGGCCTCTAGGCATTACCAGTCTGTAATACTGCTCCACAACATGGCATCTGCCCCAAATGTCCAGCAAAGGAAGCTGCTCAGTACCTTCACAGGCCAATACTCAGATACAACATGGAAGTGAAGCACATGATGGAAGTTGTTTGGGCTATCCATGTTTGATGGGAGATGCTTGCAAGCAGGTCTGGTAACCAAACATGGTACAGTACTCATTTTGATACACCCTGAGGAGATCTAGTTATGATAACACGATTGCAACAGAAATTGATGCTGTGCACCTCAAACCTGTCAGGCTTGAAGCATGAGGCTGCTCTCAGTTGCTCCACTATTACAATCCTAGGCAGAGAGAGGTTTTGAACAGTAAATACAGATGATATGTAATATCATCTGTATTAAACTTTAATACCATAGTTCTGCAGCTACATACATAGGCTGACCATAAAGTTGGAACAATTTTGTCTAATTATTCTTCCTTTTGCCCCAGTGCAGTCTGTTATTTTCACATTGGTAAGAGAAGGGTTTCTGGAGCACCAGCTATCCGTTCTTGTTAGCCAGCCTGCAGCTCTGGGTGCTAGGACTGAGACTTCACAGACCTGGCATGCACTCAAAACACATTGTGAAGAAAGCAACCTCAACGAAGGTGACTTTATCTTTTCCTTTCCTGGAGATGGCTTGGAGAAAAAAGAAACGAAAAAGGAAAGAAACATACAGAAAGGTGTAAAAGCAGATCTCTGTTTCTCTAGAGTAAGACAATATCCAGGAACAACAAGCTCTATCTGCCTTGATAGCATATATTCTAAAGGGACTTCTTTGCCAGCAAAACTAGCATGAGACACTGGGAGATCACCAATCTTGGAACAGTAATGCAATGCTAAATCTGCCTACAAACCATTTCTGTCTGCCCATCTGTGCACTTGCAGATCCCTGAAGAGTGAAGGCAACTTCCCCACCCGAATGATACCATTACAAGAACATGATGACTTTCCAGTGTGAGGACCAGGTGTCCCGGGTTCATGTAACATACAGCATTGGCACCGCCTACCAAGAATGCCATCAACAAATTCCAGAGGACCAAGAAGAAGAAGTCAGGCTGGTAACTTCCCGGTACCTGCAGGATCTAGAATATCTACTCTTTTGCTCAGGGGACGAGTGGCCCAAAACAAGCCTTTCACTCTGTCTAGTATTACTGTATTGTTTAGGAGTGGGGTAAAGTGGGTCCCCTAATCCACATACACTTCAACTACAAAACAAGAACACTGGAGTCATGGCATTTACTATTTTTCAGGCCAAACTTAATCTTGTCTTAATCTTTGTAGGAGAAAGCAAAGAATCATTTCAGGAAGAGACACCATGCATGTTGGAACTGGCGTGTGACCAAGCACTGCAACCAGTCTGATGGATCAATAAATTTTAATGTGCAACAAAGCACAAGGACTTGCAGTGGTGAGAAGCTGTGCTTCTTCCCCACAGGCTGGCACTTCTGTCAGCTCAGTGATTCAGAATTGCAGAAAACTTTTGCAGCTTAGTAGGTCAAGCAAGTAGAGACAGTGCATTTCAACCTCACTGGTGTTATCTATCTTTCTCTCTGAGTAATTGGCTAACCAGGGAGGATGAGACTGTGCACTTCAAAATATTCTCCGTGTTACCGAGAGCCCCAACAGCAACAGCTCATGCTTGATTCCAACTGACTCTCGATTCCAACTGAATCCCAAACAGCAACTGTCAGCCAAGGAGACAAGTACAAATGTGCCACATCTCCACCCAAAAGCCATGTGTAAGCCCTGAACTCAAGCAGTATGCAGCACAGAGGAAGCCACTACCCACTCCATCATCTGTTATTTCAGTGAGACCCTGCCCTCCTCTTCACTGCTCCTTTGTGGGTGAAGAAATGCCAACAGTAAAGCACTTCCCTTTGCACTTTTATACAGCAAGCAATCCCTCCTCTGAAGCTGCCTTCTGTATTA